ATGTGTTCTTCTACATGCAAATTACTCATTTGTCTAGCATTTTATACTTGAGTATAGTTCTCATTCATTATTAAAAATGCATCGGCTACTTGTTCTATATCGACCATGGAGCTGGTGTAAGTTATCGACGATTTCATTCCTCGCAGACATGACTAATCATGAGAACCAAGTTGTACGTAATATTCACGATTCTATTAAACATAGTCTTATTTTTTTCAAAAACTGAGGACGATGTTGAAGAAAATGGCTGCCGATATTTTGTAGAGTTACCGTGTGGCTTTAGCATGTGATTTTGGGCTGAGAATTATTCAATTCCGATATATTATGAAAATATCCCTAGATTTTTGGCAACCGAGTTTTCCAAATGACTAGTCATATAGCAGATTATTCGTGGCAAAAAAGAATGACTCTTTTTTGTGCATATATCTTACAAATATAGAAATGAATGAAAACAGATGAAAAGAAACACGGAACGCTTTAATGTTATGATCGAGATATGTTGAACAGAGTGAAAAATGTATCGATTTACGATACGCGTGTTGTAATAAAAACGAACGTCGAAACAACATCGCACCATCTAATAACTGTTGTTGTCAGTGACCATAAGTTGAGCCTCAGAAGACTTGTGTCAACTCCACTCTTCATTATCATCTTTTTCGATGACCAAACGCTTATCCTCTGGGAATTTAACAATGAAGATTGATAAAGAGATTATCATTTTTGATTGGTGCTAGTTAACCAAATTTTTTTGATTGGTGCTAGTTAACCAAATTTTCCTTCATGGCATGTATTATTTGTTGAATAGCAAGAGAAGGTTTGAGAAAAAGACTTGATTCGAAACTATATAGCGATAGGAGGAACGTTTTTGTCATTTTTCTCCTCAACAACAGTTTGTTACTGCAGTTCTAATTATCAATGATATGCAACGCATCCAAAATAATAGTTCACTAGTGACCATAATCGTTAAAAACTGATTGGGCTCCTAGTCTTGATCAGTATCCATGTCAGGTCTTGACTAAAGTATACATATTAACGTTCGTAGAATATAAGTTAGCCGTTCTCATGAAAACACGTTGCATTTAACACATAAAAAAAGACCTGCATCTTATTTACTTATGGATATGTCGATACAATGGCACAGTGAAGAATACTTGCTAAAACTCCTATTGTGAGAATGCCAATATGTTGATTGTTATTCAAAATTCTTGTCACATGATGTTCCACACATGCATCGTCTATTAGATCAAAGCCATTTGCCATTTCTATTGTACTATAATACCGCTTGAGTATACACAGTTCAGGCAAACAACGACACCGTATTTCATTGATACATGTTGTTGAATAAAATGTAGGAATAGTGCAAAACATACAGTCACCATCGCTATTCACTTCAACTAAAATTGCATTATGATTCTCAATTTTTGCACAGTTTTCTAGTCAGCTTTTGTTGTTCGTTAACTAGTCGAGTACAGTCTCGTCACAGAATAATATAGGTGGGTCCATCCCAGGATATAGCATGATTGCATCATGAAGATTCATCAATTTTGCTTTCAAGCTGACATGACTTTCACAGTCATCTTTTATTCTGATTACTAACTAGACGTAATATCGCAAACCAAACAGGTCGTTTGTTCTAATATTTCCGTAACTATTAGCATTGCCCACACATTCGGCATCAATGACATTGAGGTGAAGGTAGAAAATGTATTCATATTCTTTACCTTACTGATCACTATTGCATGTTCACTTCAATGATCACGTGATCACGCAAGTCTGCCTTTCGTAAAACTATGCATACATCTTCACTTCGTCCAAGCGCACTTCATATATGTTTGCGATGAAAAACTGAAAGGTTCTTAACACAAAAATTTTCTACGAAGGTTTTGCTAAGAATATCCTTTCTGTGAACCATGTAGAACCCATTCTTTCAAAAACCAATCGACTAAAAGTCATTGCGAAGCTTGGCTCTTTCGAGTTCGATGTATGCGTCGAATACTTTGCGCCTTGTGAAGCTATTGCACTTTGTTAGCAACTAGAACAATATTATTAAGGAAAAAATTAACGTTGAAAGTAAAGTGGGTAACTCCAATAACATTTTCGAACAAATATTTGTAGATATATTATTAATGTGAATTTATTCCAAGAGTTTTGTAACCAAAACCTGTTTAACAGAAACCTATTCTTCATGGTTCTCTTAGCATGAAAAAAAATGTTGATCATCCGAATAATCTACGAGTTGCTTGACGTCAGAATCCATGAGTTATTTGAGAATGCTCGTGAGGATCAAGCGCGAAATGGATCAAGTAGTAATATTTATACCGTCGTGTTTCAGAAAATTGACACAATTTGCAAACGACATTCATCCTATTAAGCACTGCGCTTTTTCAGGTTAGCAGTTATTTCAGATAACTAACAATTGTCTTAAAAGACTACAGCACTTCTAATAAGAATCCAAACAAACTACTTAGCACTATCTCACCCTGCTAAACACTACACCGTACACGAACTATTTACAAAAATAGCAGATTTTGTATAAATATCAATAAGAAAAGTTGGAACTTGAACCCGAGACGAAAGTATAAGAAAAAATCATACCGAGACAGAACTCTCTTCTCCTGTTAAGACAATTTTGGATCTGAACCTAAAATTCCTTCAGTTCCAATTCCAATAACTTATGATTGCAAGCACATTAATTCTGTACATAATGTGATGATAGTTAGAAAATGCGAACCTATATAGTTTATCTGTTATTCATACATCGATAATTCAGGGCTTTTTCTAGTCACCAGAAATTTAGAAAAAACTTTGTTTTATTAGCAAGAAATAATTTTCATTTTACAAAATCCAAAACTTTTCGCACATCATTAGATGATTGCGTGAGTTCAATAATAAAGATTCTTCCCAGAATGAGCATATACATATGTTTTCGTGTAGGATGGATCAATGTTGGCAACATGAGCCATCCCAGACGATGGCACACAGCGACCTTATTAACAAATGGAAAAATACTAGTTACTGGTGGAAGTAATTTTGATATTCTCAATAGTGCCGAATTATATGATCCATTAACAGGAACTTGGACAATCACCGGTGGCATGAAACATCCACGAGGTGTGCACACAGCAACCTTATTAACAAATGGAAAAGTATTAGTTACTGGTGGAACTAATTATGATGGTGTTCTAAATAGTGCCGAATTGTATGATCCATCAACAGGAACGTGGATAACTACTGGTAGCATGCATACTGAACGAATGGCTCACACAGCATGCTTATTAACAAATGGAAACGTATTGGTTGTTGGTGGAGACAAGATGAATGGTGTTCTAAATAGTTCTGAATTGTATGATTCATCAACAAGTACTTGGACAACTACTGGTATCATGAATAGTCGACGAGCGAAGCATACAGCATCCTTATTAATGAATGGGAAAGTGTTAGTTGTTGGTGGAGAAAATATGAATGGTGTTCTAAATAGTTCTGAATTGTATGATCCATCAACAGGAACTTGGACAACTACTACCAGCATGAATAGTCCACGAGCGAAGCATACTGCATCCTTATTAATAAATGAAAAAGTATTAGTTGTTGGTGGAGAAAATATGAATGGTGTTCTAAATAGTGCTGAATTGTATGATCCATCTGCTGAAAATTGGACAACTACTAGCAGCATGGATCAGGCACGATATGACCACAGAACATCCGTATTAACAAATGGAAAGGTGTTAGTTACTGGTGGAGGAATTTTTCCTCATTCTTATAGTAGTGCCGAATTGTATGATTCATCAACAGGAACTTGGACAACTATTGGTAACATGACCTATCCACGAAGTTCGCACACAGCGACCTCATTAACAAATGGACAAGTGTTAGTTACTGGTGGAGAAAATATAGTTGAATTTCTAAGTAGTGCTGAAATGTATGATGTATCAACAGAAACTTGGATAACTAACGGTACCAATGAAGATTTTGTGAGCGAAGCACATAGCATTCGTATTAATAAATGGAAAAGTGTTAGTTACTGGTGAATAGCTAAATGTTAGTGTGGTTTGGACAGTGCAGAAATATATTATCTTAAACATTTCAAAAAGTAAACACAACACGCAGCTTTTGATGTTTCATATCATTATTCTTGTGTGCAGTCGTTATTCTTCATCTCCTGATTGTCTTAATATTTGTTCATTGTTTCATACTGTAACTCTGACTATTGTTCGTGAAATTTCTTTTTGGTATATTATAGCAATAATTTATTCAAATTTTCTATAGTAGTATTGTGAAACATGGTTAGTAATGAGCTTCGAATTACATGGTGAGAAAACTAAGCAGATCCTTCTCTGACTCGGCTCTCAAGTTTATGACAGACAGAATAGATAAAGTTCTTTAGCATCCCAAAACCTGATCGGATTAGTCCTGAACAAATCGAATGTACCATAGCTTAAATCTTACTTTTTAGCAATCGACGATTGGATGAAGGCTAGTAACACAGCATTGTTTACTTCGAAGTCAAATGAAGGAATGCAAAGTTCATTTGTGCACGTATTTCGTAATCTTTATCAAGACTCATTCATCAGTGTTTTACATTCTTGCCAAGTGCACCCAACTTTTTACACAAGAGTACGAAGAATAATAGTGCTAATGCAAAGCACAAAAAACTGAGATTTTAAATGCAAGAAAATAAAACTTTTTTGTTTTTAATTACAAGACAAGAATATTTATTGCCATAGGCAATCAAATGAAACTAGAACAGTATTATGTTTCCTGCGTTGTCCTTGTTAGAGTAGCATTTTTCTGTTAATTTATTTTAAATTTAAAAGAGGATCTGTCAAAATACCAGACAATATGGCTGGAAGAATTTTTTCGATTGTTGATTTAATTATCTTGTAACATTCACAGCACGATTTGGCTAACACTTGTTTGAAAGACAGGTATATGGCGCTATATTTTTAAGGAGCAAATGATCATTTAAACGTGGCCATAGATATTCAATAATTAGGTTCGTTAGTTATTTCATATAGAAACTGATATTCTCTACACATTTTCCTACAAGACACTTCCATCTGCAGCTGCGTATTTAGCTACGAACTCGTCGTGAAGACTATTCTTAGTATGTAACTCCTTATTGCTATGTGTTTGTTTCTTTTGAAAAGTCAGGGTGTGAGTGTGGGTGCAAGTATGAATGTGTCGAGTAATCATAGCACGTTCCGACCTTGCTTAAGTATTTTATGAGATGGTTTTGATTTAGTATCTATTCGAATGACCGTAAGGTGATAAATAAGATACAAAATATACACATAGTCTCCATACTTTCTGTTAGATAACACATCATGTATTAGATATCAGAATTGAGTCTGCGAAGTGTAGGTGTG